ATTTGATGACAAATCAGTATCATTTATTAGAAAGTAATGGTAATACAGTACATAATCTGTTGAGTTTTTTGTTACTTCTTTCTAAAGTTGAATTCTGGCAATTTCGCCGTAGAGATGGTATAAATTACTGTTTGCATGTATTAGTTTTTGACCAGAATCTGAACCATTTACTGTTTCTTTTTCTTGTTTCCTTTTATTTTTCCTCAAGATCGGCAATTTCTCCATTTTGAAGCAAATGTAAACTGTCTATAACTAGTGGGTTCCTGTGGGATTGGTTTGGTGTATGCTGTGGCTAGAAGTGAAGCAATTTTTATGTTTTTTCGTTTGAGTTCTGGTTTTAGTTCCTTTCCCTACAATGTTGCTTACAAGCGTGATTCCTCTGAGGTAAGACAGGTCTTTGATGCTATCTGTTCTTTTCCAGGTGTCTATATGAGTATTATAATATTAGTCAGGAACATAAAATAAAATGCATTATTCACTATTTCGGGAAGGTATGCGCAAAGATGCCTGCAGGAAATGTCTCCTTTGAGCGCAAGGTTCTTCATTTAATGAACAGTCCATCAGGCATTGTCTACCCTGAGAATGATTACTGGAGCAAATCTAAGGTTCCTCTCTGCCGATTGGAGGTAAAAATGTGCAATTCAACCTGTTAAATCTTAAGAGACTTTAGGAGGAAAAACAGGAAGGCCTAATAAAATAAAATAAAATAATAAGCAAAGGATAGCGAAGAGGTTCTCTTCAAAATATTTGGCAACTGCTGTTAGTAGATTTCTGTCTAACCTTATCATGATAGGTATTTTTACATAAGATTTTGTCCTCAAATAATCTGGCAAACAGAGATGTGCCTCTATTATATTTATATTTTCAAACAGCCAGTTTCATGTAATCCATTGTTTATCCAAAACTAAATCTAACTCTTAAAAGTGAATCAATCGAAGTTCCACTTTTCTCATGTAATACTACTATTTGATTTTCTGCTAATAGCTCTCATGACAACACACCTGCGATTCGTTTTCCGCTATCCTTTTACTTCTATAACAAACCTTTTTTTTTTGTTTTTTTTGTTTTGTTTTGTTCGGATACTTTGGTAGGTCCAAACTACTGGTTTAATTGAAGATCAGCCGATGGAAGCTCTTGAAGTAGATTTTGCAAATAAATACATTGGCGGTGGTGCTCTCAGCCGAGGCTGTGTTCAGGAAGAAATACGTTTCATGATCAACCCAGAATTGATTGTGAGCACACTTTTCCTACCCTCAATGGCAGATAACGAGGCTATCGAGATTGTTGGTGCCGAGAGATTCTCGAGCTACACAGGTTATGCCAACTCATTCCGCTTTTCTGGAGATTATGTGGACCAAAAGAGTTTTGACACAATGGAAAGGCGTAAGACGAGAATAATCGCAATTGATGCTCTTTGCAATCCAGGAAAGAGACAATATAGACGTGAATGCCTCCTTCGCGAAACAAATAAGGCATTCTGTGGCTTTCTTGACCAACATAAATCGACAAATTATATTTTGAGCACAACAAACCAAGAAAACGAGGGACAAATGCATGAGATTGGTGTTGCGACAGGTAATTGGGGCTGTGGAGCGTTTGGGGGAGATCCTCAAGTTAAAGCTATAATCCAATGGTTGGCAGCTTCTCAAGCACAAAGGCCGTTTATATTATACCACACGTTTAGTTTGGAGCCTTTACAGAAGCTCGAACGAGTGGTAGAGTGGATTATGTCTCAGGAATGGACTGTTGGTGAACTTTGGAATATTTTGGTGGAGTATTCGACTCACAGGTTGAGAGGGGAGACTACAATTGGTCTCTTCAGATGGCTTATTCCATCCTTGTATAATGACGATGATGATGATCCAATGTCTGTTGATGCACCTCACACTAATTGAATTTCTATTTAATTTTTCCTTTTGATTTTGTCCTGATGCTGGATTTGTAGTTGCAGTTTATCTTTTCATTTATTCTTTTCCTCGCCAACTAGTAGGAAATATAAAAATGAAAAATCCTTGTGACATTTTATTATTTTGAAAGTATCTATTTTTAGGCTTTTATACGAGACATGATTAATAGAAAAACTGACATTCTTATCTAGATTAGTAGAAAAATCACTCACCCGCCCTAAAGTATTTTTACCTACACTCGGCCTATATCTGATTAATAGAAGTTGGTCAATGTGATAAAGGAAATTATTTACAAAAGAAACAACTAAAACTATCATTTTTTTTCCCGAAACGACGGGAATAGCTCAAATATATAATAAAGATAGAGTACAACGGGAGGCCAATTGGCCTCAATCTACAAGTCAGAGAACTACACGCAACTGTAGCTTAAAACAACCAAAAGAAACGGAAAACCCCACACAACGGTGGCCTAAAACAACCAAAATAACAAAGAAGTCAGAAATAAACTCAAGTATTGTCCAAAAACAGCAACAAGTATTGATACTGTAATCGAATAAAAAATTATGCATTCAACTATGAAAATCAGGGGGGAAAACAAAAACACGTCGTAACACATCATTCCTCTCGCAATGGGAGCCCCGATTACCCGCCTCGCCGGAGTTGATAGAGTGTCTCTTTTGATGGCCGTTACTCAGTAGAGAGTCCTCTCTCTGGGATTATCTTTCTCTCCTTCCTTCTTAGTTCAATCTTTCTATTTTTCTTCTATTTTATCACCCATCTGATTTCTAGGGTTTCTATTTCAGGCTGCTGAGGATTCGCAATTTCTCCCTGATTCATTGGTGTTAATATCTCAGTTGAGGAGCAATAGAGGACGAAGTTGTTCAAAAACTTACATCCTTTCAACTCTCAGAGAAAGAAGCTAAGCCTATAGCCATAGATGTATCAGACACTCATATCAGCGCAGAGGTCTGTAAACGAAGTCTCTTTGGGAAGATCCATGGTCAAAAGAAAGCTCAGCTTCCGGGGCTAAGAAGGGCAAGTGGGATAATATGGCAGCTTAAATCCCAAGCCACTATTCGTGAGATCAGCTCCAATTATTTCCAATTTGTTTTTGACAATATGGAAGACAAAGTCAAAGTGAGCAAGGGCACAGGGTGGACATTTGAAAATCAATTCTTAATTCTCAAGGATTGGCAAGAGGATCTTCACGCAGATCATAAAGTTTTTTCAGAGCTTGATTTGTGGGTTCAAGTGTGGAATCTACCCCCTGATTGGTGTTCTACAGAAGTGGGATCTAAAGTTGGAAGTGCTTTCAAGCTAGTGAAGAACGTTTCTATCCCTCAAAGTGGTTGGCTAGCAGGCAAATGCATTAGGCTGCTAGTCACTATTAATTTGAATCAACCACTATTAAGGCTGCTGGGGTGTTTTCATCTATGCCAGCACAGACTATGCCACCAGAGTTGAGCAGAGAGATTTTATTCTACATGAGAAACAAAACTGGGGTAGTTTTTGGTTTGTGGGTGGAGATTGGAACGAGATAACAGGTGCAGAGGGTAAGAAGGGGGGAATAATCAGAGCAGATTCCTCATACAAAAATTTTAATGAATTCATTCACAACCTGGGAGGCCAGGACTTAGGGCTTTTGGGGAATCCTTACACCTGGGAAAATTGCAGAGCAGAGGAGGACTATGTGGAGAAAAGACTTGACAGGGTATTTGCCTCAATGGAGTGGTCAGCCTATTATGCCTCAGCTCAGGTGCACAACATATTCAGATCATCCTCACCACAGTCTTCTTCTTCTAAAAACTCAGCCAGCCCGGAATCTTCCCAAAAAAAGGTTTCTCTTTGACAAGAGGTGGCTCTCCAAACCTGGAATCCATGATGTTGTTGCTGCAGCTTGGTCTCAAAATCCATCCTCAGAAGGTACACCTATGTTTAATCTCCAATCCAAAATCAAGAGCACCAAAGTGGAACTCCTGAAGTGGAGTAAAGACTTCAACTCTGACAGAAAGAAGAGAGTCCAGCAACTCAACAAAATCCTAGAACAGCAAAGAGCTCTTGGTAATAACAGAGACTGGCTTTTATAGGAAGAATGTAAAAGAGAAATAAACTCAGAAAACTTCCAAGAGGAGCAGTATTGGAGGCAAAGATCTAGAATCAGTTGGCTCCAGAATGGTGATAAGAACTCCAAGTATTTCCATGCTCACACAGCTCAAAGAAGAAAAGTCAATAATATCCCTAAGATTCTGAAAGAAGATGGGACTCCCTGCACAACTTCTGAGGAGATCACTGGCTGCATTGAAGAATTCTATTCTCATCTGTTTACCTCTGAGGGTTCCACAGGAGGCACTATTCTGCTGAATAATATTCAACCTGTTATCACTGAAGATATGAACACTGAGATTTTAACCTAAGTGGATGAGAATGAAATTAAAGAATCTCTCTTCAGCATTGATAACAACAAAGCCCATGGCCTCGATGGTATGACTTCCACCTTTTTCCATAGCTTCTGGGATATTATTAAACCTGACTTTTGTAGTTCTGTTTCTAGCTTTGTTGAATCAGGTAGAATCCTTATGAGCCTTAATCATACCCTCATCTCTTTGATTCCTAAAATCCAAAATCCTGAATTTGTTTCTCATTATAGACCTATTAGTTTATGTAGTGTCTTCTATAAAACCATTTCTAAAATTCTTGCTAATAGACTCAAAAAATGGCTGCCACTTTGTATTAGTGAAAGCCAATCAGCCTTCATCCCAGAAAGGCAAATCTTGGATAATGTTATTATTGCTCATGAATCCTTGCATTTTCTCAATAGGCATAGATCTGGCAATTCTTTTTATATGACTATCAAATTAGACATGTCTAAAGCTTTTGATAGAGTAGAATGGCCATGTATTAGTCAAATGCTGTGTAAATTAGGTTTTCATTCTTCTTTTATTAATTGGATTATGGCTTGTATTTCTTCTCCTTATTTCTTTTTTAATATTAATGGGGCTCCCAAAGGGTTTGTTAAAGCAAGCAGGGGTATTAGACAGGGGGACCCACTGTCCCCCTATCTATTCATTTTGATTTCAGAAATCTTTTCTGGTCTGATTAAAGCTGAGGTTGCAAATGGAAACTGGAAAGGCCTGAAAATCAGTAAATATGGCCCTAATCTTACCCACATCCTTTTTGCTGATGATACCCTTCTTTTCTCACAGGCATCAAATGACCAAGCTCTCCTGTTACTTGACATTCTTAACAAATACTTCCTTTTCACAGGCCAACTTGTTAACCTCTCCAAATCCTCCATTTTCTTTAGCAAAAATACCCCTACCCACATTCAAAACCAAATTTGCAGCACCTTTAATGGTATTTCAGTGCACTCTTCCTCTAAATATTTGGGTCTGCCATTGGGTTTGGGTAAATCCAAGATTGATACTTTTGCCTACGTGGAGAAATCTGTTAAAAGTAAAATTTTGAACTGGAAAACAAAGTTCTTGTCTCCTGCAGGTAAAGAAGTCCTTATCCACTCAGTGTTGAATGCCCTGCCAATCTATACAATGTCATGCTTCGTCATTCCTAAAGCCACTAAAGTAAGCATTGACAAAGCAGTTGCTGAGTTCTGGTGGAGTAATGGAGAGCAAAAACAATCCATTCACTGGAAATCTTGGAACAGTATCACCTTACCTAAGGAGCAAGGAGGACTGGGCTTTAAAGACATTCACCTCATGAACAAGGCTCTCATTATCAAACAAATCTGGAGGATGATAACAAAGCCCAACCTCTTGGTCAGTAAAGTTCTAAAGGCAAGATACTTCCACAGAGACAACTTTTTTTCCATCACTAAGAAGCAGAACAACTCATGGCTATGGAATAGCTGGCTTGATGTGAGGGACTCCATTGTGAAGAATACTCAACATGGTGGGTTGAGGTTTGACATCAAACATGGCAGGAATATCAATATTTGGAAGCAACCATGGATCGCTACCATTCCCAAGATCTCCAATAGACAGATTCAGAGCAGCTTAACTTGGGTGAGTGAACTCATCGATGAGACTGGAAGGAAATGGGACACAGACACCCTTCACTCTATCTTTTCTCCTATGGAAATTGCAGCAATCCTTCAAATAAAAGATCTTGATCCCAATGGAGTTGATAAGCTTGTCTGGGATGGATCCAGCAAAGGAAAACCCTTCTCAGTTTCTTCTGTTTACTCCAGCTTAATGCAAGATAAATGGACTGGTCTGGACCTGCCTGAAAGTAGTAGAGGTCAAAAAGCACTTTCTGGGATGAGGAAAAGATGTTGGTCTCTCAAAATCCAAGGGAAATTGAAGCACTTCCTCTGGAAATGTGTCTCAAACACCCTCCCAGTTACTGGGAACCTTTGGAGAAGAAAAATTGCACTGGATACAACTTGTAAAGGCTGTGGTGAAAGTGTGGAAACAGTTGAGCACCTTCTTTTGAACTGCCCTAGATCCTCTATAATCTGGAAACTATCTCCCTTGTGCTGGGATGGACAACATCTAGACACTTCATCTTTCAAAGATTGGTGGACTCAACTCTGTACACTCAATCACTCATCTACATCTAATAGCAGGCTTCAGCTTTCAGTTTACATTCTTTGGGAAATTTGGAAAGCGAGGAACCTCTGGACCTTTCAAAGAATCAAAAAGCCTGAAATTTTCATTGTGCAATCTGCCCTGAATAACTGGATGGAATTCACTTCCTCTTCTTCCCCATTAGTCTGCTGAGCATCATTTGTGAACTGTTCCAGAGGGTGAACCTGCATTGGGAGTGTTCCTCAGCTGTGTTGGTGTTTCTCTGCCCTAATGCCTTGTTGCTGTTCCTCTGATCCCTGTTGGGCAACTCTGGTGTTGGTGGCTGCTTATGCAAACAACTCTGGGAATGGTGGCTGCTTATGCAAACCTGCCAGTTCTCCTTGTGCTCTGGTTTTTTTGCAGTGTTGTTTTTTCTGTTTTGTGGTTCTCTGTGGTTTTTATTTTAGATTAGATGTTGGCTGGTTTTTTCCCTTTCTGTTGGTTGTAGTTCTCCTTTTTGTTCAGACTTGTTTGGTGCTGCAGCTAGGCCGTTTAGGGCAGTGGTTGTAGTGTTTTTGTTTCTTAAGTCTGTCGCTTTGGCAGCAAGGCATAAAGG